ATGTATCATGAAAGTGTTTTTTTTTTTCTAAAGGCAAAGAGGTGTACTCGTTCCAACCCGTTGGTTAACAAAAGAAAAGCGCCTTCACTCTACCATGCAACGACTGTATGTGTAAATAAAACATACCACAAGTATTTGTCTGCTCCGTATTTAACCCTTTATTCGGAGCTGTAAAGAAATACCTGTGTATTCACACATACGATACCATTTTCACCTTCAGTCTATTGCTTTCAAAGAATAAACAAAACAATTGCCAGTCTTAGATTTAAATAGAGTATTTTATTCTTGTTATTTGGCTTACCCTTAAAAAGGGATACCTTATTTAAGGAGATAAAAATATTTTAACTCTAAACAAGAAAGAAAGCTAACTTTGGCCAGCCAAAGTTTGTATACCCTTGCAGGTAACAATTAAAATATATCATAACTAAGCCAAAAATGCATTAATTTCGATTCGGAAAGCAGTTTTGTGTTACTTTTTATTCATTTAAAAAAACTGCATACCAAATTTAAAATTTTAAGAAATCAAAATTTTTGGCCATTTTTGCTAGTTTTAATGATGTAACCCCTTATAAAATTTGGCAAAAATGGCAAAAAAAATCCATTTCTTCCGGACATGTCTAGAAAGATTCGCATGTTAATGCTGTTCAAGAATATATATGGTTTATGGGGTCGGAAATGATTCCTTGACTTAGAAAAATATTATTTTGGATTATAAAATCGGATTTTTTATATTAAAAAACTTCTTGTTTTTTTTTTAAATTAAAAATATCATAACTCTGCCAAAAGAGCATTAATTTTAAATCGGAAAAGTGTTCTGTGCAAGATTTTCTACAGTTAATAAATCTGCATACTTAATTTAAAAATTTTGAAAATTCAATTTTTTATCAAAATCAAAGATTTTAATGATGTAATAACCCCTTAGAAAATTTTGCAAAAATGGCCAAAAAATCGATTTCTTCCGGACATATCTAGAAAGATTCCCCTGTTGATGCTGATCAAGAATATATATGGTTTATAGGGTCGGAAACGTCTCCTTCACTGCGTTGCAAACATCTGACTGAAATTATAATACCCTGCAAGGGTATAAAAAATAATTAATATTAAATATCTCAGTTTTCCAGTTTCCCCATTAAATAGTGGCACCAAAATCAAACTAACCCGAACTAAGCCATGAATTTACTTTATACAAAAATATTTTTTATTTATTTAATTCAAATATTTTTATATTTACTAATTAGTTAATTAATATTGCCAACTTGGTATACCTATTTCAAAGGAAGAGACTTCATTAGCTTACTTTATTCAGAGCACAATTTCAAGTTGTGATATAAGCACTATTTAGTAGGGTGTCCTTTTTTTTTTGAAGCAAATTTCACGCTTTAGAATGTCAAATCAAAATAATCCGAAATCAAAAGAATTACTTAATCAGCGTAAGCAAATAATTGTTAGCAAAGGGAAGGGACTTTATCCTTTAACCGCTTATTCACAGCATTGTTTGTTTCAATCAGCGTAATAACATGAACAAGACAATATAGTAAGGTGTCTTTTATTCATTGTGTTAGGTACAACACCATTTGTTTTACAAAATTGGCTCATCTCCCCCAACACGACAGAGCGCCCGCAGAATACCCTTTCTTTTTTCTAAGGAAACAAAAATTTAACGGCAAAGAACTTGCCTTAAGTTTTTATTTTATTTACTACATGTATATATAGTTTTTAATCATAGCTTAAATTTTTCTTTGATTTTAATTTTAAATCCTACTTTTTGTATAAAACCTACTGTAAAAGAACATTTGCGCTTCGATGTGAGGATAAACCGCTAATTTAATCTTCTGAATGTTGCTTTTTGAGGCCTGCGAAAATTGTTGCACTTGAAATAAACAGTTTTGAATTGTGTATTTTATAAAAAGGTTTTCAGAGGCTAATAATTGCTCAACAACTGATAATTTTTTAGTAATACCACACAGATCGATTGTTAGTACAATAACCCATAAACTTTATACATTTCAAGATGAAAATTTAAAAATTCCCTAGAGTAGGAAACATATAATTTCTAGTAAAAGCTTCAGTTTTAATCACAGTGCACGGCACGCGCCGGAACATCCAATTTCCACCCTTATGTCGAGTGGCGGTCGTTAGGAACGCCCCCAAACGCGGAAACGAATGAAATTTTCCGTCCCTTTCTCCGGGAGACAAGTGCAGCATCCTTTTTCGTCCAAAGGCTGTGGCTCTGTAGTTGATACAATCGTAATCGAAGCTTATTTATTCAAGGGCAGTTAAAAATTGTGTATATTTTCCGCGCTACTATAAACTATGTGTTTTATCGGGAAATGACTACTGCTAAACTCATTAAAGAACAGTAAAATCTTACAAGTGCCGCATTTGCAATGGAATTTTCATTCATCAAGCAGGCGAACTTCGACAAGGATTGTAGTATATACAACGCTAACTCGGAGTTTTATCATAATAATAATGCGAATGGCGGACTTTCGTCTGTTGCAAATCACATGAATCACTATAATTTAATGATTGACTCATCCAACTACAAGCTATGTGCCAACGAGACTGCGATGAGGGGTTCTCTGAACCAGGAATCGAGCTTACTATTCTCAAAGATAACCACAGTTTCGGAATTTTATCCTGGGACTCACAACATTGCGTCCTATAACTCGGGTAGGATGTGTGCAATTACCTTTTTACAAAAGTATTTAACACAAAACTGGTTCAAACTTCATTAATATTTTACCATATATCTCGAATTGTGATGCCCATCTCTTAGATTTTCATCTAAAGTCGTACGGAGATGATGGCTTGAGCTTGACAGATAAATCAAAACAGAGACGGATTCGCACTACCTTTACATCGAACCAACTAAACGAGCTGGAGAAGATCTTTTTAGAGACCCACTATCCAGATATTTACACAAGAGAGGAAATTGCATCAAAATTACACTTGACAGAAGCTCGTGTTCAGGTAACTTCTTGAACCTATATCTTGGAAATTCTTAAAAACTAAATATTTGAGGTGGAATTGTAAGAGTACCTTGATGTTAAAATATTTTTACTAACCTTCTTTGATTAGAAAAAATAAGGCTTAATAGCTTAAATATATTATACATATATTGTCTGTAATATTATTTATGTTAAGCCTTAAACTCAATACCATTAATTCGAAATTCTTACATCTTCAGTTAAGGAATGATTGAAAATATATTCTCGAATCCCCTTTCTTTCAGGTGTGGTTCCAAAACAGGAGAGCCAAGTTCCGCAAACAGGAGCGACATGCCATCTACATTATGAAGGACAAATCCATCAAAATGGACAACCGCAAGAGTTCCGTATCCGGCTCCAAATATTTAAGTCCAACATCGATAGGAAAGGGTTCCCAGAATGCCCGTCAAATGAAATGCTTATACGATCAAATATAGACAAGCACTAATATCGATGTAAATATTAGTATACAATTTGATGAATACAATTATTTTGATATTATTTTTACTATCTATTTTGGAGCGAATTTGCGTTAAATAAATAAGATCTGTGTACCATTACTATGTCTATATCTCTTGGTTACCAAAACAAAACTTATCAAAGGTCCCAGGATATCCCAATGTACTTACGAAGGCTCAGCTGGTGCTGGTTGAACCTGCGTGGGAAAACCGAGAGTAATTGTATGGGGTGGAAAAGTCGGTAAAGTCGACGTAAGTACCGGATTTCACGCCACTCAAGTGGGAATTGTTCGCAATTTAGCGGGGGGGAGAAATTGAAATTGAAAGATAAAAGAGCATGTCCTCCCATCCTCCCTCCTTAATTGGACTAATGGAATTGCAATGGCTCTGGTGGTATTACTTGTAAAAATTAATCAATTTTTATCAACAGGATGACACTGGATAAATCCTTAGCTATACTACTTATAATACCAAACAATTACGCATGAGGAATTGTTAACTTAAATTCTTCTGTGAGGATCCTAGGAGCCATTTTCTGATGTAGCGTCTTAGGTTTAAAGGTAATAGTCACCAAATGCTTATAGTCAACCTAATCATATTTCTCTTTACAATTAATCAAAAACTCTTTTGAACTTTATTTGTTTTTTCTAGAGGATTATAGACTTAAAGACCTTAAGATAACATTCTTTTCAAGCCCCACTCTTAGGAACTATAGGAGTTACAGTTCCGATTATATTAGGTCTTGAATATACAAATAAATACAAACAGTTTAAAAATATATATTAATAATTAAGCCACTAATCTTTCATAAGATTATCTTGCTTAACACAGAAATATAAAGATACAAGTAACTTTATAGCTTATTTTCAAAATTATTAGCGGTAGATATGGGATTTCTTCATGAACAAAATGGAAAATGTAAATATTTTCTATATTTTTCGTTTTTCTAAGTAGCTGACACACAAAATGTGTCATTTCCCGTTGTTTCATCCTGCAGCTATGCAAAGGTAAAGGACCAAGATACCCTTAATGCCATCTGCGATTTGGCGCTACTTTTTGAAAAATTAATCAATGTTATATTTATTTATTTGATTAACGGCAGTTACATTTAAATTTTTTATAGCATATGTCTAAGTTTCTTTATCTTTATTTAAAAAAAAAAAAATATATATATATAAAATCCTAATAATTCTGGTTTTCTTAAGGGACATAAGCTGGTTAAAAGCCTTTAAGCCAGTGTCAAAAATTATATGGATTGCAGTTCACCATTAAAATCTTAATTAACTAATAATAAAATATAGAGAAAAATATATATAAGGGCTTACATAAAAAAATGCCAAAAACTGCCATCCGTTTTTTTTAATTTTAAAATTGTATTCAGATTTTTGAATTCTATAAAAACAAACATAAAAGCTTTTCGAATTCTTAAAAATACTCTCACTTAATATAAATTTAATTTTTAGGAAGCATTGAATTTACCTATCGATTCTCAGTGTGAACACTCTGCCTTCTGCGGGATGCGCTGCGATATATATATCGATAACTCAGCTGGGTGCTCTTACATATCGCAAGAAGAAGAGGAAAAAAATAGAAAATCAAGTTATAACATTTCATGAATTAAAACAAACACCAGCTGGCCATGTTGCGATCGAGGATTTCCTGCGCATTCCCGCCCAGAAGATGGATGTCCTATTTTTCCCCGGAATTCACCAAGTTGGCGAGCGAAGGGCCGGCAAAGTTCGCGGCCACCAGCAGTCATGCGGTAACGAATATAGACCTGGACCTGTTCGTCAATCCGGATAATCGACCAATGGATCTGGTGGATCGCCTGCAAAAACTAAGGTAATTATCCTAATTTTCCCTGGGACCCAAACTAATAGAGCTATGTATCTTTGCAGGAAACAAAAGGAGGCCAGTCTGGTTCCCCTCCTGCCGAGTGTTCTGGTCAAGCAACTACTGGACTCAACGAATCCCAACGAGGCAATATCCGTGCTGCGTAATCCCACCCAGTACGGCCTGTTTCTTGACCATTTCTCCGGCTGCTTCCTAATGGACGTCCTCCTGCACACGGGACACGCCGTGGAAGCCGCTCAGGTGGCCGCTCTTGTCGTGGAAAGGGGCTTATGCAACAACGAGCTGGTCGAGGCGCTGGCTCTCCAGTCGTTCCACGCCTTTGCCAAGGACTTCAAACCCTTTGAGTCATCCCAACCTCCGCAGCCTCCACCTAAAGCCTCTGATGTGGAAAAAGTCCGTGTCAAGTTCATTCGCAATTACCCTGAAGATGCCAGCGAAAGCACTGAGGAAAAGAAACTGGGACAAGCCATGATCCGATTGGCGGCAGCTGGCGAAAGTTCCCTTAAAGAGCTCAAGCAAAACATTGCCTTGATTGGCTATGTACTCACCGGACAAATATCTGAAGCCTCTAGTTATCTGGCCAAGAACAGCGCAGCACTGCATAAGGAAACCCTAACTATTGCCCAAAGTGTGGCTGAAAGCCTCAAACTGGAGGGTTCCGAAGAGTTGATCAAGTCCCTGCAAGAAGCAGCAGAGAAGTGCGCAAAATCCAACGCCATTCAAGAACTGTTAGAAGGCAGCGTCAGGCGGAGCTCCGAGAAGTTTGAGCCCAAGCTGCTGGCCGAATACGAAGAGAGCTACAAGGACTGGGCCAAAAAGTTCGACGATGCTGTGAAATATCAACTGGAGACCCAGAGTCTCGACCAGCGTAGGGAGAGCATCAAGAAGACGCTCAGCGAGCTGGAAACGAAGCGTCAGAATCTGTGGTACTTCGAAAACAAGGACGACATCGACATTCAGATCTACAAGAAGAAGGTGTACTATCCGAAGCGCTGGTTCGGCAAGAAAAAGAAGCCCAAGGCAGTGGACACCTTCTATGTGCCGCCCACCATCACGCACCACCAGAACGCCTGAGACCCCTGACAAAACAAGTTAGATCCAATTGTTTTTAAGCTTTAATTAAACTACTGGAGAGTTAATCCAAATTCAAATGTTGTTTCTTTTCTCGAACGTTAAATTGTTTAAAATTACCATAACGTAACATTGAGGGTCACAGTTATATTCATTCCATCTCTCAGTTTACAACATTTTTTTTTATAATTTTCTCATTTTTTCTTTGGAGTTTTCCATAAATTTTTTTTGCAATTTCTTAAAAGCTAATCGTCTGTCATTTGTGCATGGCCGGGGGCAGAGCAGTTTTTAAAACCCGCTGCCCTGGTGCTGATGGGGATAGATTAATGGGCGACGGCATGTCGTGCCTCTTATCCTGTATGGTTAGTGGCAAGAACTGCTGCTGCTTCTTTTTCCGGTTCATATTAATGGGATGGGTGTTGTCGTTCTTGCCGAACAGAATGGTCAGGTGGACAGTACAGAAGATTCCCAGGCTCTGTGTTGGGCGAGAGAGTGGATTTAGCAACAGGTAATCGCAGGTGCTTAGAGCAATCTCACCTGGATAATGGCTATAATGGCAGCTCCAAACGCAGTGATCAGTAGGCGGCTCTTTATCTGCTCCGATACGACGGCCAGGCAACCGCGCTTGTAGTGCGTATCACAGGCCGACTCGTAGGCGTGCTCCGGACGGGAGCAGCAGGACCAGGGCAGCGAAAGTCGGCGGTAATCAAGAGGTCCGTCCACACCGCAGCATTGTAGCTTGAAGGGGTTTTAGAAAGGAGAGTAATATTATAAAGATTACGTCTGTCATTCTTGCTTCAAATCAAAGATAAGTAAACTAAATACCTTTTTGTAAGCTTTTTGTGATTTTTTTTACATAATTTTTAACTATAAAGTCTAAAGACATAACTTTGCTACTTTGGAGAAGTACCTAAGGTTTAGTTTAATTCAGGAAATTGAAAGAAAATACTTTAATTTCATAAAATAAATATAAAAAAACCATGTTCCAATCTATATAAAAACTACTACTCAAAGTTATGAATATATATTCCGATATCTCACTTATATTAAGTATTCTGAATGGCATTCAAGTCAGGTAAGCTCACCTGCGATTGCATCCGATTCCACAAGTGTAAATTATCGACCTTGGTGCGCGAAAACTTGTCCAAGAACTCGACAAAGGAGTCGTCGATGAAGATCTCTACGGATGTGGGAAGATTCTCGCGCATGGCTAAGGACCAACCGCAGATGATGAATTGAACACATATGCAGGCCACCAGCAGGGCTGCGAACTGGGAAAAACCAATCGTATATAAGTTGTCAATTGAGGAGGAAAGGACTTCACATCACTCCCAGTCCCAGTCCCAATTTCCATTCATTTACCATTCCCAGGAGGCAGCGCTTGCGCTGGTTCGTGGCCTGGCAGCCCATCCAGCAAAGGATGAAGGTGACGGGTCCCAGGCAAAGAAGGATCGCTGCCGGGGCCCACAGCTTGTTCTGCACGATGCCATAGTAGACCGAGTGGCCCCAGAGCAGGGATGTGCCCAGGAATATCTGTGCAGCTCCGGTCAGCTGAAAGAGGTGAAAAAGTTAATCACAGCTCGTGTTCGTTTTCGGGTGCGGGAGTCCTTGGCCGCTATCGCAGGCCCTCCCTGTTCGGTGTCCTTGGCGAGGCTTTAACTGCACTGTGTGTATTCGGGATGCTGCCACTATGTACACTACATACATCACAAACAGTACATGTACATACGTACATACATATGTACGTTTACTCCCTTTTGACGTCACGCGACGAAGCCTGATGTGCACGCATGTGTGTGTATGTGTATGTAGTGGGCTCAGTTGTACATGCTTAGGCGCAGCTTTTAAGTAGCTCAAGGTCACTCGAAGTCGGGACCCGCAGCAGAAGCAGAGCGTGAGCCAGCTTCGCGTTTACACAAAGCCGTACATAAAAGGATGCGCAATTCTACATGGGGGAAACATGTACATCATACGTACATATGTGCAGGCTTACATATCTATGTAAATATGAACATATGTATGTACGTATAAGTGCACTTGTGGGAAATGTATCAAGAAATTTGTATACATGACTCGATGTTGTACATCACTTGACAGATTGAATTGACATACTTTCAACGCATAATGTATAAACAAATTAAAGAAAATCAATGAATAGGAAGGATTTCTTTCATAAAGTGCATTCTTTAACAGGCCGAAAAATGCAAATTACTTGGCAACTCACACACACACATGCACGCATACATGTCGCAATGGCGACGCTGCCTTTACGAATTTACCTTATGTAATTTGACAAGTAATTATGCCCTCGTTGGGCGATTGCATACCAATGCAAAGTGGAAATGTGTGCCAACTTACCGCCAGGAGAAACACATAACTGTAAACCAAATATTTAAAACATTTAATTTTCTTTGGCAGAGCCATGGTCATCCGTTATCCGTTGACCGTTATCCGCTATCCGTTACTGCTATCCGTGGACCGTTGTTCTGCTTTTATCCGCCTATCCCACTTCTTAACGTTGCAATCACTGAACTCCAATTAGCAAGTCTTCGTGCATATGTTGCAGTGTATATATGTGGGGGGGGGTTGTGTATGTGTGTGCGTTATGTTGTGGCCTTTATTGTGATTTTTCCGAGTCGAGCTTGGCTGGAGTTTTTCTCGAGTTCTCAGTTCGCAGTGTTTATCACATCACTAAATGCCTCGTCGCTCCTGGATGCTGCTGCTGCTTGCCCACTTGGCCGACATAGTCGCGAAATAGCGCTCCCGGAACCCGTTCCGATCCAACCTATCAGATGCAATTTTTAACTAAAAATAACAGTTAACGTTAACTCCCAGCGACTCGCAAATCGTCCGCAGTCGAAAATACGCACTCGACGGTCTGACCAAATAGCTCCTTGTTTTGTTATACTTCAAACGACCAGCAGTGCGAATATTATCTATAACCCGCCTTCAGTCGCCATCGAAAGCAATCTCAGGCAATCGCGCCACCGATGACAGCGCCACAAAGGCGCCAAACTTCGTTACTATTTAAAAGCGTGCTTGAAAACTCAGCTTTCAGCTTAAGCTTAACGCAGTTTCATTTCCCTTAAGATTAATTTTTTTTGCAACTCTTTTGTTGCTCAAACGTAATTGATCTTAAAATACATATACTTCAATTTAAAGACAAATATAAAGGCATTACAACAAAATTACGACACTGAAGCAAGGAGTTGTTGGAATAAAAGGTTTAATATTTAAATTATTATTTCTTTACAAATTATAGAAATTATTAAAAAGTTAGATCATGTAACGTGTTCTTATTTTCCGTGTTAAATTTGTTTACTTTGTATTAACCATCTACGTCTTTAAAAATAAGTTTTTAAAGAGCAAATAAATTAGGATTATACTTCAACTGTTTACTAACAAAAAGAGAACTTTAATATTTATCTATCGACATTATCGGTCTTAGATTTTCGGAATATTTTAAGCTTTTGTTTGCAGGTATTTTAATACTTTTTATACCCACCCACCAGTGGGCCTGCCAATTTGGTCTGAAAAATCCAAAGCTTTTTCTTTTGCAACTTTGGTAAAATACCAAAAATGTAACGAATTTTCCGAGCTCGAAACAAAAGCTTAAAAAATAGGGAAAGTACGCCATTTAACGGGCTTGAATTTAAACATAACTTAAAAAACATGAACTTACCATCTTTTAGTATAAACTTGTACACAAAACACAACAACATCGGTTTAACATAAAGTATATATTTCTACAAAATTGCTTGAAAAAGTATATATAAACAAAACGGAAATGCTTTTCTGATTTTATTACGAGCTTTGCGAAGTTATACTGTACAAGTTGACACACTTTTATGTTGTTCTTGATCCTAATAGAGGAGGGAATAACTCGTGGAAAATCTTAACGTGAAGGAGAGTAAGTAAAGTATACAAAATAAATCAAATATTTTTAGGTGTAGGCGGCAATGGATGAAGAGTTCATGCTGAACGACGGGTTGTTGTTGGGTGGTTGGAAATACAATAGAAATTACAATACCATGCGTATAAAAATAAGCTTAAAACTTAAGTGCTCTCCACTGCGGTTGGACCAGCCGTTAAAAGGGAGGAGGGTTCGTAGTGGTAGTGGGTGCATCTAGTGGGTCTTGGGTTTTGATTGAATGTCCAAAAATAAACTTAAATGAGACAGAGCAACGCTATTGGCCTCCCTCCGATGCAGGTGCGGATGTGGGAGCTCTCCAGGACGCTGGCTGCGGTGAAAGATGTGTGCGTATGATCGAGCAGAGGCGCGTGAATGTGTGTGTTTGCGTAAACTTACGATTTAAATGTACATTTTACATATTTATACAATAAACAATTAAATCTGTTACTCGTTACCGTACAATCGTATATTGTATATATTTAAAAATTCAGGTCTCTTTGCAGTAGTCCGTCCGGCGGATCGGACAGATCTCGGGCAGATCATCGGTTGGTGGTTGCTGTGCCGCTTTATTCGCGCAGATTCTTCGTCAGCAGCAGGTTGTTGTGGTGGCCAGACAGGTGACGAACCAGCTCCTGGACCGACTCGAAGCACATGGAGCAGAAGCAGCAGCTGTAGCGATTCTCAGTGTCCGCCCCGTTGGTGGTGGTGATGACATTCCGATGCACCGAACACAGATGCTTTAGCAGGTGGGCCTTCTGCTTGAACATGGCCACGCAGAGGCGGCAGGCGAACGGCTTCTCGCCGGTGTGGACGCGCAGATGGGTCTTGAGGTTCCAGGACATGCCGAACTGTTTGCCGCAATACTCGCATCGATACTCACGCACCGAGGACGCGTGCGTATTGCTGCCGGCCAGGTTCGATCCTGATCCCGAGCCCGAAGCGGACCCGCTGCGCCCCTCCGGATGGTCCAGATTCAGGCTGATGTGCGACAGACTAGAGAGTCGCGACTGCAGATTGGGCATTGCGGACATGGCGGCACTTTGATTGGACTGCCATTGGTACACGAACTGGGGACCCAAATGCATCGGTATCTCGGGACTCTGGGCACGATTTCGCTGCGCCTCCAGCAATTGCTTCCTATCCGGCGTTAGAGTGTCCCCG